AACACCTAATCGCAGAGCCAAAGTGTTCTTTAGGGAGAGGTGTCCTCTTACCAGAGTTTCAAAAGTAGAACAAACTCTGTGTAAAGGACAACACCTAATAGCAGAGCCAAAGTATCCTTTAGGGAGAGGTGTCCTCTTACCCAGAGAGTTGCTAACTAGTAAAAATGGTAATTTGGGGGTGAAAACTGTCCTTTGAAGAGATGTCCTCTCATGGAGGTTTTACTGTATTACCTTCCTACAACAATATTGGTGTTTTAGTAATCTTTTTTTAAAGAATCCATTGCAGGTGAGCAAAACTTGATGCAATTGCATTTGAATCTTGCTATTATCACTTGGGAACATCACATATTGTTATAGCAACCACAATTGAAACAATTGGAAGTTAAAATTATGATGTTATCACCAAGTTAGAAAGAGATTCCATTGCATACTTCTTGTCATCAAAACCTATAGTTTTAAAAAATATCTTAACCAATTATTCCTGTGAATGTTACACAGATATATAAATAGATTTCCTCATTTCTACTATATACAGTAGAACCTCCCTGTGAAGGACAACACCTAATTGCAGAGCCAAAATGTCCTTTAGGGAGAGTTGTCCTCTTACCAGAGAGTTGCTACAGTAGAACCTCCCTGTAAAGGACAACACCTAATTGCAGAGCCAAAATGTCCTTTAGGGAGAGTTGTCCTCTTACCAGAGAGTTGCTACAGTAGAACCTCCCTGTAAAGGACAACACCTAATTGCAGAGCCAAAATTTCCTTTAGGGAGAGTTGTCCTCTTACCAGAGAGTTGCTACAGTAGAACCTCCCTGTAAAGGACAACACCTAATTGCAGAGCCAAAATGTCCTTTAGGGAGAGTTGTCCTTTTACCAGAGAGTTACTACAGTAGAACCTCCCTGTAAAGGACATCTAATTATAGAGCCAAAATGTCCTTTAGGGAGAGGTGTCCTCTTACCGGAGAGTTGTTAAATGGTAAAAATGGTAATTTTGCAAATGAAAATTGTCCTTTGTGGAGAGGTGTCCGTTAAAAGGAAGTTCTACTGTATATATATTTTAAATCAAACACACTAGAATAAATTTACTAAGGCTTACAGGAGAAAATGATCAACATTGACTCGTGTGGATTATTATTTTTTCTTTTTTATATATGTGTGAAAAATTTATTTAAAAATAAAAAAGGTCAGGTGTTGATATTAAAAACAAATTAGGCATATCCTGACCACTAACATGAGTGTTTTTTTAGATGGCAGAGCACCATTTTGTGAAGCAGAAATCAACTAAACGTTGATTTAACCTCAAGGTAATAAGACCAAATCCAAATAAATAAATAGTGTGTGACGTTTCGGTAAAAGCGTTGTTACCATCTTCAGACAAAAACATACTGTGGTAAAATTTCTCATTCAGTACTTTTGTCTGAAGATTGTAACAATGCTGTTACCGAAACGTCACACACTATTTATTTATTTGGATTTGGTCTTATTACCTTGTGTTTATAATCTATTAGCCGAATGACCCGGGCAACGCCCGTGTTTTACCCGATTGAATGTTTTTATTCAAATACTATTTGTTACAATTATAAATTTGGCGCCTTTAATAAATGCATATATTAGTTAATAACTATAGCCTATGTGCTTTATCTGTCTATGTACTGTTGGCTTCCGTAGGCGTCTCATACTGGGAAAAGGAAAGAGAGGATTCCATTTAGTTATTAACTAATATATGCATTTATTTAAAGAGCGACCCGCTCCAAACCAATAGTTACAAAAGCGAAAGAGCGAGTGGGGGAGGCATGATGGGGGGGGGGGGGCAAAGGTGGCGTGACCGTAGCCAACCAATAGGAGGGCGCCATTCCAAAAAAAAAGCAAACGGTGACAGAGGCCGATGAGGAATGACGCTCGTAACTGTATATAGAATAATCCAAATTGTGCCTTATCGTTGTTTAGCCTGTTCCTTGATATTTGGCCAATTTTCTTGACAAGGGACAATAGCCTGAGACTGCATTCGTGGATGGCTTTTCTTGATTTATAAAGAAAATGGGTTGGCCAAATATCAGGGAACAATCAATGTTTAGTTGATTTCTGTTCCACTAGATGGTGTTATGCCATCTAAAAAAAACACTAATGTTAGTGGTCAGGTTATGACTAATTTTATTTTTAATATATACAGTAAAACCCCGCAAATACGAACCCTGGATATAACAAACCTTCCCTTATAACGAACCCACTCCGATTCACAATTCCATTCCATTGAAAATACCATCGTTATAACGAACTTTGCGATTTTTAGAATAACGAACTACCCCTATAACGAACCTATTTTCTGTCCCAAAATAATAAAATCTATTTAAAATACTATGCTTATAACGAACTTAGAATTGTAATTTAAAAAAATTAAAACAACAAAATTTTGAGCATGTTTCAGCTCGCGGATCGCGATTTTAAAACAATAAATTTAGTGGCATTGTTTGTTTTGATTTTTGCACTTTATTTTTGCTGTATGTTGTATAAATTTTAACACGTTATACTTTTTATTAAATAGAATATTTGCATCCATTAAATTTGAAATATAAAAAATGCAAATGGCTTCCAAAATGAAGAAAACAAAGGCATTTTAAAAACAAAAGCGTTATTTCTTTTTAAAAAAGGCCATTTTCAGAACTTTTCAAAGTGAAACAACACAGGCAAAATGTTAGGAACATATAAAGCTATTAAATATTGTTACAAAGAGGAATCAACCCCAACTTTTGCCGCGATCGATTGTACGTTTTAGGGCTTAAAAAAAAAAGTACAAATAAACGGTCCTGTGATGAAACAAAATCTAATTTTATGTCGTTAACTATGGTGATTTTAAAGTCAGCAATGTTTTGCATGACAGGTTAAAAAAAAAAAAACCTCTAGACCTAGAAGAATAGGTGGAAAAATGAAATGGAAGAAAAACACTAACTTTATTTGAATGGTGCAATGCTTGAAGAATGCCTTGAAGCAAAAAGGTGTTAGAGCCATTTTTTCCAACTAAACATTGTATTATATAATGTGATAATGATGTTTTAAAATCATTTTATATCTTTGAATATATATTTAATAAAACTTTGCCTAGGATTTGTCTTGATTTTTAAATTAGACATAGAGGTACATGTATGCTAATGATAAGAAGAACCTATCATCTAATGATTTCTATTATTATTCAGTATTAATGTAAGGAAATTGGTCAATTAAGGGAATTAAAACAAAGTGACCACTATTAAGAGGAAGCCTCTTCTTGTGTGTATGGCTGTCCTTTAATTATACGGTCTAAAAATTTTTAAAAGTAAAAAAAAATGGCCAAACCATAGTGAACCGTGGCTATAGTGAACCAAAAGCTCTGTCCCATTGGGGTTCACTATAGAGGAGTTTTATTGTATATTGTTGCATCATTGTTAATGCACCTATTTTTAAAATTATTTATTTTTATAAAATATATTATTATAAAATATTATGTACTATAAACACAAGGTAATAAGAACAAATCCAAATAAAAAAAATAGTGTGTGACGTTTCTGTAACAGCGTTGTTACCATCCTCAGACAAAAGTACTGAATGTAGTACATCATTCAGTACATTTGTCTGAAGATGGTAACAACGCTGTCACACACAATTTATTTGGATTTGTTCTTATTACCTTGTGTTTATAATCTATATTCCAAATTGTGCCTTATCAGTACTATAAAACATTTGTATTTTGATACACTGAATACACAACCTGCTTTAAACTTTGATGTGATAAATAAAGAGATATTCTAGGTGTTACCTAAATATATAGTTGTCTTATTATTGACTGGTTTAACCTTGTAGGATGGTTGAGACACGTTACAAGACATGTCTGAGGAGAGAATCAAGACGGCAGAAGAATCTGCCAAACAGCAACCTGGTGCAACAATATGTGAAAGGAAAGAAATATATTTTTCAAATTGCCCAAAATAGAGATTTTCTCATAAATTAAAAAATAACCTTTATTTATATATCGATCAAAATATTAATATAGAATTTCACTTTTAAATAAGAAAGAGATGCTAAAAAGATTGTATTTAGGGGTAAGCTATAGTTTTTAATGAGAGAAAAAAAAATGTAAACATAAAAAAATATATAAATATAAAAAATCTTTAAATATAATTCAAAATTTGAGGAAGAAGAAAAAAAAAATAATATAAATTTTATTCAAGAATGATTTCACAATTCTTAAATCTAAGGCTAAACAAACAAAAAAAAACCATACGAACAAAACCAAATCAAATCAATAACAACAAAGGCAATATATATATATATATCTTAATTATTCACATTACTATATAAAAATAAGGTGGGAGAGAGAGATTGGGGTAAATAAAAATTTAAAGGGTAAAAAAATTTACAAGGATTTAATATAATTTATCAACTAGATATATAGAGAGAAAAAAATTACCTTTTAAGTACACTTTCCAATACTCATAGACTAATATTGGAAAGAGAGAAATAAAATTTGCCATTTCTTTCAAATTGGTAGGCTCTAAATTTTGTTTATATGTATCCATAACCATTCAAAAATATACAAAAGTAGGCTTACAAGGAATGTAATTAGAGGGTACGGAGTTGGTAATCTCCATTCTGGGTGATGTAGCGTACCCAGGGTAAAGCTTGGTAGCCGCTCTTCTCAATGATCTTCAGGTAACGGACTTGGATGCCGGAGGTGGTGAAGTAAGGAATCTCAAACTTTACTTGTATTGGCGGTTTGCCTTCAGCATCTTCTCCTTCAACGCTGGGAAGTCCGAAGTGGGCTCTCAGCAGGTATTCCTTACCACCTGGGAAAGACTTGATGGTCCAGATAATGGCATTTTGCTCAGGTGCATACTTGGCACTTCCAATGGTAGTCTTGAATTTTGGTGAATCTGCATCATGAGGCACTGGTATGATGATCTCCACATTGTTGGCTGTTGAACGCCTCTTGAATTGACTCTTTGCCTTGATCATGTATTCCACACGGCTGTGAGCATGACGTTCGATTACCGATTCAATCCAGATTAATGGTTTCACGTGGGTGTTGAGTCGGTATGACATCAGCTCAAATTCTCCATCTGGGGGAATGAAGGAAATGGTACGGTCATTTTCAAACCGGGACAAACGTACACACTGATGGAACTTCACATCTTCCAATTCTACAGATTTACTTTTACCTCTTCCTGTACTTTCAAAAAGCACTTTGTCATTTAGTCCCAGTCTCAATTCTGGCATTCCTGAGAGGTAAACTCTCATCCTGATACTTCCAACAATTTCACTTCTCAAAACATTGCCATTTGCATTTGCCAAAAGATTAACCGACTCAATAACATCTAAAAACACCTCATTTTTCCTATATTTTATTCCTTCTGATCTCCATGAGACAGCATTTGTGACAGCCACTGGTAACCTTGGCTGAATTTCCATTTTGTGGCTTTCTTGAGTAATATACTCTTGCAAAATTTTGCTTTCTGTTGTCTGTGGATAACCAAAATCCATTAATTCATCTAGCAGCTCATAGATGATCACAAAATTATCACGAATACTTTCTTCTTCAAGTTCTTTAAAATATTCAATAAACACTTGCACAATCTTATGTAAAAATACAAATACTAATGCAATGTTTGCGTTTTTCTTTGTTGTTGCTACAAGATAGAGGTTGTTGTATTTTATGTAAACAAATGTAACAGAATTATGGCTAATTATTGGATTAAGACAACCTTCTTCTTCCTTTTCCATTAGCATAGGCAGAAATTTATCTATCATTGCCAAGTCAATATCGCCACGATAGTTTCGTGATATCAACACTTTACCCTTTAAATCTAACAAATAAATAGCTGAAGCCGACATTTTGGCTTTATAAAATTAAATATCTTAGAAAGATTTATTGTTAAATATACTATTTGTTTATGAAAGATTAAAGGAAATTATTTTCATAGGTGTGGTCAAATTGCAACGAACCGCACAGAGTTGCCGACAAAAATATTATTATACGTTCAAAATTAAATGTCTCATTTTTAAATGAAAAAAAAACCTTATTTGTTATATTATCATTAATTTCTTAATAAATATGTGTATTTTAATCAGATATATTTGAATTAAGAATTAGGGAAGCGAAAATTTAAAAAAATTTCAAAAATATTTTAGAGCATTTTTAAAGCAAAAATAAAAGATGTCTTCTGTAAAAAATATACAAGCGTTTCTGAAGTCATACCAAATTTATCAAAGACAGAAACGGGGAAGGTGTGACGTTGAAACAACAAATAACAAAGAAATAATTATAATATATATATTCTTGGATCTTTTTTTGAAAATCTAATTAAAAACGAATTGATCTTCACCATATTCGAGATTGTCCATCCTTTGTTGATATTTAACCCTTTAAGCTCTAGGGCCCGAATGCTAACTATCACTATCAGGACCACACTAATTAAGCCTAAACTGATGATCAAGTAGTTGTTAAGTTAAAAATGTTATAAATAAAAAGATATGATAGATAGAAGTGTTCTGTAAAGTGCAATATAATCCAGACTCCTCTCTCAACACAACACTCTGATTTTATTATACTGAAATGAGTATTTAATTTTTTAATTGGGGGTTAATTATAATTAATTGAATAATCGACTTGAATTTTTCAAAATAAGGTTTCACAAATATAAAAAGGAATTTTAGATATATACAAGGCTATTTACAAAGCTAACACTTGTGTTTAAAAGCACAGACTGAATGCAAGCCTCTCTTGCACTTTGAACATATGGTTCTAGACCTCCGCTTCAGGCCTTCTTTTGTACACTCCACACATCTACTCTCTCTCTTTTCTGGAAGTTTTTCGAGTACTTCCTGGCTTGTTGAAGGCAGAACTGGAGGTTTCAAGTGATTTTTAACTAATTCATTTATTACTGAATATTAAAAGCCCTTCTAGAAAGCTTGGGGTTGTCTTTGGTATGCTGTTCATATAGGATGAAGGAGTATAGGAGAGCCCTGTGGAAGATGTTGAGGATCACCTTTCTATAAAATTTTCTTCCTTTTCTTTCATCCATATATGTATACAACATTTGATCATTGAGATCTACCCCTCCCATGTAGATATCATAGCAGATTTTCATCTGTGGGTAGTCTCTTTGGTCTGACACCTTCTTTTTGCCAGAAGAAGCCTCACAAAATGTTGAGAGAAACTTCACTGGAGGTTTGCTCTTCTTTTCTTTGTAAGCCAGGGCCAGTAGATTATTATTTACCATATAAAGGGATTCATCAACACCTAATTTTGCACTTGTTAAGGTTTTAGGAAGTCCCTTCCTATTAGTTCTTATAGTACTAGTCAAATAAGTATGACTGTCCAGTAAATCCTTGGCTAGGTTGATGCTGGTGAAAAATTATCAGTTATCAAATGATAACCTTTTCCAAGTAGACTGGATTCCTGGAACAGATTCATTGGAACATCATAGGAAAGGGACTTGATAATTGGAGATAATTTCCCTTTATATGGCTTCATTCTCAGACAATAGCCAGTTTTAGATTCACAAAGCATCCACAGTTTGACTCCAAATCGACCATGGTGCTTTTGGGGCATATATTGTCTAAGACGAGTTCGGTTTTTTAGGCATACCAAGCTCTCATCAACTGTAAGATTTTGAGTAGGCTTATAATAATATATATACTTGTTGTTCACATGCTCTATGAGCTTCTCAAATCTTGCAGTTGGGTTGTAATCAGGATGAGAACTTGGAACCAGGTTGGAGTCATCAATCAGAGAAAAGCAGCTGTAGAGCAACTCAAATCTCCCTCTAGACATAACTTTAACCAGGGCGTCTCTAAAAGTTCATTCTTGCTCCAATAGTCCCTGATTTGGTTCTTCTTCACATTGCCCATATTGAAAATGACTCCAATAAAGGCCATCATCTCATCCAAGGTAGTGTCCTTCCAGGCCAGCTTCCTAGAAAATGGAGGCAATTTGTCCCTATTGCTTGCCAATAAAGTTTGGGCACATTTATTGGTAAAAGCCACAATTTCCTTCATCAAATTCATTGTTATGAATAACAAAAAGTATTCACTAGGCCGGATAATAGAGGGGGGAAGGTGCTGTGGGCCACAAACTTCTCCAAAAGTGAATGTTTTGGATGTGGAAAATGGAGTATAAACTCTTACCCAAGGACTTGGCTGGTTTTCATCCACTTCTTCATCAGAAAATTCATCTTCAAAAGTGTCTTCAACACTTTCTTCAAACTCAGAAGAACTGGAAGCCATTTTTAAAAAATTAAAAATAAAAAAAGGAAATCGCAAGACAAAGGAGATAAAAACACAGCTACGTGTAGAGACAAGCCCAGAAGTGAGAAGGGAGGTGATAAAAATAGCCAGCCACCACCCCCTCCCCCACGAGGGGCCCTACAAGGAAGTAACGATAGATCGGTACCCCGGCACTCCTGGTGACGTTATAGGGTAACGATGGATCATTACCTCGGCGCTTAAAGGGTTAAAGAACAAGATATTCAACAAACGAGTGTACAAATGATTGCTTAAAAAAACCTATCTCAATAGTTATTTTAATAATAATTCTGTGTTTAGACGTGCTTTATTGAATTCCCCTTTTAATGATTGAAATTATTCATACACACAAAGTACATCAAGAAATACTAAATGTGATCCACAAAATATTATATTTTCTCGTAAAAATAAGGTTGAAATCTCTAAAGTTCCAAACGGATTTTTCAAACTGAAAAAAAAAAAAAATAATAAGTTAATTACTGCTTAGTTTTAAGTGTCTATGATGTTTGGAATGCTATGAACAACCATATATTTTTATATCTCTTAAGAAGTTTAAGCGTCAATGGACCAAAAACTATGTAATATAAAATAATTAACTTGTTAGTTACTTAAAGTAGATTCTGGCAGTTTTTGAGTCGTTTTACATTTTACAGGAGGATATTGTTTTACAAAATAGATTCAAAAACTATTTTGTCCAGAGAATTGGCCACCTACTTTACCATCTAAATAACTCTTGAAGATATCGTTTAATCCAGTGATATCAAACAGATGTCAAACCCTGACCAGGCTCTGGACTAACAAGGACCATTAACCTTAAAACCAATGTGTCCAAGTGGGCACTACTCAATTTTCTAAAGCTAGTGTTGTGCCTTTGTCACCAATCTGCATTCACTAGTTTGCATAAACAGTCAAAAGAAAGGTGCTTTTAATTTTAGTGTATTTTGGCCAGAGACTTTATAGATAATGTTCTATGGGCAAAATTCCCATCATATTATTAATAATCGCTAATAATAATTCTCCTTTCTTAGCTCCACTCAATCATATTAGGATATAAAGCCTGTAGAGCTTGTTGATGGTGTCTGCTGGGGATGAGTAGAGCTCATCAATGGATGAGGCATTACAGTCAATAATGAGGTTTGGGATTGCAGGTTGTGAGAAATGCATTAATAATAATTAATAATTCCAAATCTTTGCCTTTATTCAATATTTAGCAATCATTCTATAAAGGGGGAAAAGTTGATAAAGTAGTATCCTTGATAGGCATTATGTCGAAGTCCTCACCACATTTAGGATTTTTTTTTTAAATTCTTATCCCTAATACACATGGTACAGGCCATGATAAACATGGTGGGTAGAAAGTAGGAGACTGCTTTTACTGTAAGTACACCACATGTCTACACATGTGAAAAGCATTTCGACTTTGCACTTACAAATGTACAAGAGCCCAGTTTGATTACTTGCATTCGCTGGTGGGGTTGGACTTTTGCAAGAATTAGGGGGCCATTGGAGCATTTTTTTTTTAATTAGAAAAAGTGCTCAATGCAGGATTTGATCCCAGGTCGTAGCGGTCAAAGACAAAGGGTTTAAACCACCCTTCCACCAACTCCTTATATTTAGGATAAAGTGGTACAATTATATTTAGCATAGCCTCTTGATTACCCAAACTTCCATGTTTAGTGCTGACCACATCTTACATGCAAGCTCTGTTCAGAAACATCTATATGCTGGATATCCAGTAGAAATCTCTTAGAGAAGGAAGTCATGTAGAAGAATGGCTTTTGATCATCAGAATATTGTAATAAA